TGGTAGAATCACATAGCGTAATAATGTAGGGTTTTGGTGTAAAATGTGAGTTTATTGAAGGAAATGAAATAGCACACTACATGTGTTTGTGATGTTGTTCTCCATGTACTTAGCAGAGCTTTTGGAGAGATGACACATTTTTCAGACAAATATGTGACATTCTTTAGAAATCAAGCTAATTTGTATTCACTTACTCAAATATTGTGTAAATATGGTGTTTATCTGAATGATAAATCTTTAAACTCAGCAGCGAAGCAAATAGGATAAAAAAGTGTGAGAAAGACATTTCAGTCATGGAGTGATAAAAGTCTGACACAAGTAAGATTTAGGACTGGCAATAGGACTACAGTGTATTTAAAGAAGATGTGTTGAGAGGAGCGATTGATAATGAATCTACAGATGAATAAATGCTGTAAATACTGTAAATGATACAGCAGGCATATTTAACCTCTTAAGGTAATATTTTGATTAAAGTATTAACATTGTGTGTCAACAAATCAACAAATGATTACACTAAAAATATGAGAAAAATACATGAGGCCTTTTTATCACATTGATGAATGTAACTTAATGCAATTTGTAAAATGGAAGCTGTCCCCTTAGAAAATGTGTCTTTTGAAGAGATGTGATTAGTCAATCAACAGGAAAATTAATTAACAACTATTCTGATAATCAGTAAAAAAAAAAACAGTTCTGCAATGGACTGGTGACCTGTCCAGGGTGTACCCCGCCTTTCGCCCAATGTCAGCTGGGATTGGCTCCAGCCCCCCGCGACCCTGTACGCAGGATAAGCGGTTGACGATGGATGGATGGATGGATGGGTGGATGAAAAAAAAACAGTAAACTAACTTACTGGAGATGGACATCTTTGACAAGACAGTCTACAGCCATGGTAGTAGCTTTGTAACACTGTACTTGGGCAGAGAAGTGCCTTGGGCTAAATGCTAACCACAGGATGCTAACATGCACACAATGATAATGATAAAATGCTGATGTTAAGCAAGTATAATATTGACCGTGTTCACTATTTTAGCTTAATATGCTAACATTTGTTAAATAGCACTAAGCATACTATAGCAACTATTTAGTCATAATTGTTGGACCAATTCAAATTTTGGATGAAAAGTTACAATTCAAGGAGTATGTCTGAACCAAAGTTGAATGACAATCCCACCAGTGGTTTGGATCACCAAAGTCATTATCATTCATCCTCTGAGGACCACGGATGTCTGTACAAAATTTCTTGGCAATGCATTCAAGCTTACAAGATATTTCAGTCCAGATAAAAGTGGTGGACTGATTGACCAACTGGCAGACATTGGTAATCCATAGAGCTATGCTGCACAGCAAAAAATCCACATCAATCAAGAATTTCATTTAAAAAAAAAGGCTTCCTGTATTTAACAGTAAATAGTACCTTTGACACTGTGGACCACCCATTACCCACTAACACCTTGCTGAGTGCTGGCATTGGGTGAAAAGTAATTTCACAGTTATTTTGTTAATCGTTCACAGATTGTCAAACATGGTAATGTAATGTCCGACTCAGTCATTGTTAAGAAAAAGGATTGGTTTTTGGACCCCTGCCCTTTTTTGTTTATTTTAATATTTGTGATGTGTTAAAATTCTGCAAGTACCATCTGTATGCAGATGACACAGTTATATACTCCTGTGCAACCACCGCAGAGATGACCATTTCAAATCTGCAGACTGATTTTAACATCCTGAAGCATGCCCTATCAGATCTGCTTGCTTTAAAACTCAACCAAAACTAGCAATTTTGGTGATACTATTTATAGGTATGCCCCACTGTCCAACTTGTTCAAACTTGACCCCCTGTATCAGTCAGCACTTAGGTTGCACAAATGGCTAAAGTTTAAACTACCTTTTACCAGTACAGAGGCTGGCAAAACAAGCCTGTTTTACTTCTTCACTACCTTGGTCTTGGGATGATCTGCAGGCCAGACTCAAACTTAAGACCCTCGTGTCTTTAAATTATTTTAAACTTAGAATAATGTATGTGCTCACGGCTAGCTGCAGTTAACTAACAAACACATGACTAAATATATAAAAATATTGCTGCCTTGTTAATGCACTGTATTATTTACAATGTATTGTTTGTTGTAGCCTACCTACTGTTCCTGTTGTGATCTCATGTTGTTGGATGCTGCTATTTGACCATGTCTTGGCTAGGTCTCACATGTAGGGGAGACCGGGTATGGTTGTAATACTTTTTGTTTCAGCAACTATTACAATTTTTTAGCTAGAGTTCTCAAACTTTTCTACAAAGTACCCACATTTGTTCACAAATGGCACCAAATCAATCCTCTACAAGAATATCACAGACCTCGTGAGTTGGTATCAAATGCATTGTGTTCCCTTGTTACAACCTTCCCCCATGCTGGGGTAGGTTGTAACAATAAGACAAAAGAAGCAAAAATAGATGCCACTCTATATGATATGCTTCAAAAACAGGTAGTGATACAAAAGAACAATGTTTTTCTGTCACTGTAACAGACTTAATCTGATGACTCACGTACTTGTATGTGTATGTAAATTTATCTAGCCTATAGAATAAACTTACTCAACAGAATACTTAATCAATACTACTACAATGTACTTAATTAAAGAACATCTTTGTACATCCTTAGGTCTAACAAAAAAGAGGTGTGTGTCTGTGTGTGTTAATATGTGCATATTCTTAATCAGAGTCACAGTCAGTGCTTGAATTGACCTGTACTCACCGGTACACAGTACAAGCACTTCTATATTTTACTCTTGGGCACCAGTACTTCTCACAAGCTACTAGTACTCTTTTCTGCCCTCTCCACCGACGTAGACTGAGTAGGGAAAAGATCGAGTGCTGATACATACACCAACATGTGAACTTCATGTGAATGGGGAGAACTGGTCACAGAGCTGACAAACATGGACCATTTGAAATTGGTCGGGTCCATCAGGCAATACTCGCAATACCACCACCCAACACACAAACACGCACACAAACGCACACATAAAACACCAGAATCCCTTTGATCACACAACTGATTTACGTCATACGACACAAGCCAAACGATTTTTAGACACCAGAATGTTGCTTTCTCAAAGGCTGTGGTCCCTGAGCATGATAATTGTGGCTGCCTGCCATAGACCTTATAGTTAAATATCAGCTACAGAAATTTTATAACTTTTTTTCTGACGTTTAAGCACACACGCCCTGGATTTATTTCCACTTGCGATTGTTATATTACAGCTAACACAATATTATCAGAATAAAAGTAGTTTAAAAAGAAACGTCAAACTAACCCCTGCTCTAAATGTTCGAAGGCTATATGTCGTCTCCGTCTGTCATTGCGCTGTATGAAGTCCCTGGCTATCCTCTAAGCATTCACTGTGGTCAAAAAATCCCTGTGCGTGTGGGTGCACATCAAACTGTTTAGTCTTCTCTGGGTCATGGGTCTGGGTCAATGACAGTGACAGAACAGGCAGAGTGGCTAGTGTTAGGTGGAGCAGAGGCAGATTAACACCAAATAGAGACTTTGCTGGCTGAATAAGACGGACCAGACACAGTGTGGCACGATGGGGCAACCGAGGCAGTAACATTATATCCAGGGCTGTCGCTCTCTGGTACAGCGGCAGCAGAGCTCTCTTCTCAAGCTTCCCCAGGAGGCTCACGGTCAACGTCGGGTGAAGCTACCCCAGCTGCAGTTCCCTTAATGTTCGTTGGCATTGTGCCAAAAAATCTGTTATTTTCGGCAATTCATTGTCAGTAAAACTGTTAAGCTACAAAGTAGCGTTCATAAGCAGTGCCAGGTGGCTAGCATTTGTGTGGAAACAGTTTTGTTTACATCACATGACACAATCAGCCAATACATTTTTAGATAGAATAATTTATCACTTTCTCATTGGAGGATGATGCCATAGACTGCATTTAAAAAGTAGCACTTGAAGACTTAAATTTTATTTATATCTCTTTTTATTTATTTTATTTATTTACCGCAGAACCGGTAGGGCCAGTAGGGCTGGTAACCCTGGAGTGCAGGCTTGGAGGGCTCAGAGACTACAAAGGGCACTCTGTAAAAAAAATTAAATCAAGAAAGTCCCTAGTTGTATGTATAGGGAATTGTTGTAAAATTCTTTAAAGAAGTGTTACAACCCACTGCATTCCTGTGAGCCAATGTTTAGCTAGCTGTATTAGCTGTATTATTTTAGACACTGATTTGGTGACCTAGTGAGTGTTTATTGCAGCAGGACAGTCTATGTGGGATTGAACTACAGTGCCTATGTTTAACGCTTTCTAAGGAACATGTTACCAAGTGCAATCATGTGACTCACACAAGCTTTTAATATTTTTTAGATAACAATAAGCTCTACATTACATCTACATTAGGCTTTGGTGACACAGACCTAGGATCAATGAGATTTAATGACCATAAGCAAAATATAGAATATCAACAAATCATTTAAGAGAATTATTGTAATCAAATGATGACATTGATTATGACCTTAATGCTGCCATGATAAAATGATTGTTCATAAGGCAATTGTGAGAATTGGAATTCTGACTTTATAAGGTTTGATGACATTATTAGCATGCATATACACTAATGATGTGTTTAAGCATTGGTTTAATAATATAATGTATCATTTTAAATGTGAAATTTTGGAGCAACCTTAGTGTTATACGAATAAGAATAACTGTATGTATGTAGTCTACTTTGAATTGTTTTTGTGTTGTATTGTAAGAAATAAAGCTGTTTTTCACAAAATTTGTTAGACACTGGTTTATGAGCAGTTTGGCCAAGACTTTTATAGGTTCAATCCACCCTGCTTTTATAGCAGACAATATTTATAAGCTTCACACACTTTTATGACACCCTGTCACCTTTGTCCCTCTCACTGTGCAAGTCATTCCCCGCCTCTGCTTCAAACGATTCAAGGATTATTGATCTCAGGCTTTCACTAGAGGAACAACTGGTGTGAAGACTGCGATTCTTGTCTTCAGTCCACATTTTCCTTTGTATTTACTAAAAGCTGTTAGGTGCAAGATCTCAGACAAAGTTTATTTTCTTCTCTTATCTGCTGGATATTGAATCAAGAGACTGTGACTGTGTGACTTCTGCTTAGTCACTGAAGAGCCCTTTTCACTTCTGATTTTGGACTTAAGGCGTCAGTGGAGAGGATCTGATCAGACGGGCTAATGTGAACACCTGCATTCAGGCTTCTATTTATCTGAATGAGTTATATATAGTTTTTGACATGTAGAAACGGTGGAAAAGACAATATTCTGAGGAAAAAGGCCAAATCTCAAGGATCAAGATGTGCAGCTTGCACAGTTTACTTTACCTGGGAGTGTTGATAATGACGGTGACCAACAAGATGCTGGATGACTGTTTGTCAGTTAAAGTCAACATGAATGTTGTGCTTCTGGAGGACAATACTTATGGGTGGAGTCTGCCGTATGTGAAGGAGGCCGTGGAACAAGCCATTGAAAAGGACAGGCAGGAGAACGTTAAACATGGTATGGACTGATAGTTCCTAAATAAGGCTGAATTGACCTTAAAGATAATAGTAATTAATTTTTGATCCAATCTACAAACACATTTCTTTACAGCAGCCAATAAAAAGCAAATGATTTAGAAAATGACAAAACCCCAAAACCGATCAAACTAAGATAATTTAAAACAACAAAACAGAACTTAATAATCAAGCTTGGCATTTTGATTGAGCCCATATAACTTTTATGAGGCAAATGACTGGCTGGACATCAGCAGATGTGTTTTAATTAGCTGGAAGTCAGGCAATAACAGCTCCTACAAAACCAATTAAATAGAGAACTACAAAGTTGCTTGTCACTGCTGTGTAAATGATTTAAAAGAATGTTGCAGGATAACACTTTGATAGAAAATAATAAATAAAAAAACACTTTAAAATGGATTCAGAAAATGATTAGGTCTTTGAATTCAGTGAATTAGACTTTATTTTATCTATACTTTAAAGACATACAGCCAGTGTACTAGTGTGTTATAACAATCTTCTGAATATGGGGGCTAGGCAGGGACATGGGGCTTTGAAATATTTCATTACCAGTGTCAAATGTTGTGTTAACACAAGCTGCTGTCCAAAAACTTTGCCTACACAATAGAAACAACTTTTTACAAGGCTAAGAAAGAACTTTCAGGCTCAGCTAAAGCTTTGACGATTATTTACAGCAATATTCAAACATCAACTTTACTCTTACTGACATCATCTTTACTCAGAGGCTAGTCATCTTACCAAATAAAACTCTTTGCATTTGTCAAATTTTTTCTTGATGCTGCTGTGAATGCAATTTAAAAAAAATTCTTTGTGGGAGAAATTAAAGGCTACATTTACACTAGCGGAACATACAGTCAGTATAATCTAATCTTAACAGCCCAAAGAAAATTAGTCCATTTTTTATATTAATATCTTCTTTTCATGTCCCAAGGTTTAAACTTCACTTTGACGGCTAACTACAACGGGTTCAACACCACTGTGTTCAAACGGCAGGGCTGTGGGAGCAGCACCTGTGAGGGAGTGGCAATACTCAAGAGGCTGTATGTGAGTGCGTTTAAAAGATGTCTAAAGAGTGTTTAAAGTGTTTCTTTTAGTGCATGCATTAAGATCAAAATAATCAAAGGTATTGTGGTAATAAATCTTCAGGCAAAGAGGCACTGAGCGGCATTGTAATTTCTACAATCTTGGTGTAAAAATGTACGTAAGTATTGATAAGATCCAAGCCATAAAATCTACAGTTATAACAAATTCCTTTAACATTTAAATGCCTATTGCTCCATGACAGGATGGTCATCATTGCTCACTAAAATGTAAAATTATAAATGAGGCATCTAGGCAAACTATTTCCAGTATAGTTACAAATGTGGTTAAGAAGCAGTCAGGACCAAACCTTCAGTGTTCGACCACATTTCTTTAGACACACCATTTTGCACCAACAATATCTCTATTACAAGGGTTGCCTTCGTAGTAGTAGAATGCAAATATCTCCACCAATAGCAGCCTAAATAGACCAAAATGTAATGCAGCCACAGGATGCTCAGGATATTCTCAGGATATGTTTGTCTTGTAGTAGATGCCACTTTTAGGACAACTCTGCAAAATGCATGCTGGGAAATGTAGGTAATCACAAACTGAAGTAGAACCAGACAAGATGTTGAGGGAAAAGGTTAACTGCAGCACTTAATCCTGAAATAACTACAGAATGGCACTGAAATCACCGACCAGTGATAACATGTTACTGTAAAAAAAAAAAATTTTCCCTTCTGTTTCCTCTTGAGGTATTGTGTCTGAACCATAGCAGCGATAGTGACACACTTATAATGCCTCTGTGATGACAGATTAACTAGTACTGTATCTTTCTGCAGAATAATGGTGAAGTTGGATGCGTCATGTTGGGGCCTTCTTGCACTTATGCCACCTTCCAGTTAGTGGAGTGAGTATGACTCTGTTTGTCTTTATTAATTATTTACCATTATCAACTGACAAATGTATGACTTTTCACCCTGTTATCTGCCTCAGTGATGAAATTGGCCTGAACTTGAGCATTCCCATCATCTCTGCTGGGAGCTTCGGCCTGTCTTGTGATTATAAGACGAAACTGACCCGAATTCTGCCCCCGGCACGCAAGACCTCAGACTTATTACTCAACTTTGTGAATGAAACTTTACCATTTAAGGATGCTTGGGAGCAGGTCTATGTTTACAAGAAGCACAGCAACGCAAGTGAGGACTGCTTCTGGTGAGACAGGCTGCAGTTCACCTGAGTGACCGCTTCAGCTTCATTCAGTGCTCCAGCATGTGCCACTTTTTTGTTTAATCTGCTTGCTTTTGTCACAGGTACATCAACGCATTGGAAGCAGCCTCTGCCAGCTTTGCATCAGGTACACAAAGAAAGATGCTGCGTGGGGAGGAAGAGCTGTACAATGCCCTTACCTCTGACAAAAGATACAGCAACAGTGGGTATTTCTGAACTTTGAGTTACATCTCAGTGCACTAAGCATTTCTTCCTGATCTATGTCATTCTTCCAACAAAGCTTGACCAACCAAATGACGGAAAAACATAATCTAATGTCTACACTAGAGATGAATAAACTATCTAATTGAACATTAGCATGGAATTAAAAATATCAGAACGTAAAACCAGGTCTTTTTCAACTTGATGGATGCCATCAAATTTATATTTGTATTGATTCATATCGTCACTTTGCACTGTTTAATTTTTGGTAATTTGTTTAATAGTTGTAAAAATATATTTAGTATTGTATAATTTATTTTATATTGTATTATGTTTAATGTCACTTATCACTTTATTCTATGCTATCCACTTGCTGCTGTAATGTTTGAAATTTCTCACCTGTGAGACAAAAAAGGCTGGTCTTATCCTATCTTATCTTAAAAAATTCATTCAAACATAAATGTCTCACTCAGGATGAATTTTAATCACTTTGGTTGTCCAATACTTTGGTATGTGGCTAAATACCTGCAAATCCATCTAAACACCTAAAACTAACATAATAGCTGCTTAGCATAATCATGTTAGCATTATCATTGTAAGTATGATGTTAGAATTTAGGTCAATGCACCGCAGTGCCTAAGTACAGCGTCACAGAACTGCTAACATGGGTGGAGATTCATAGTCTTGTTCTACAAAATGTAGATAGCTCAGTTTGGCTGATAGAATAACTTACAACGACACAACAAAACGACACAACTCTTCACCTGTCCACTATATCACTTTAAAATTAGTTTGTCACAGTTTCTCATATATTTTTAACATACAGTACATGCAGCGCCACCATGGAAAGTCAATTCGTACCAGACTTATGATGTAGATAGTAAAACTGAAATACTTTAATCAGTGCTTGAAAAGAATTGTGTTAAATGTACAGTACAGCTCAAATATTTCCTTTCCTGCTTTTTATTTATTTATTTCAGTTTTCATCCTATGTGGGAGCCCTGATGACATTGTTTCAATAAAGGGGAAGGTGGGCCAGATTCATCAGGACATTATGTTCATTCTCCTTGATATTTACAAGTAAGCCTGTCTATGATTTTAACATTTTGTCCATACATTGTTACCATGAAGCTTCATGAGTCTTTTCAGTGTAAAACAAGAAATCAGAATATACTGTTAAACCTGATATGTGACATTTTGAATGTGTAGAAGTAACTCTGTTCACAATAACACCCTTTACCTTCCTCCAGCCCTGAGTATTATGCCAACACAACATCCATTAAGGGTATGGAGGATGTGCTTGTGATCACTCTGCCACAGAGGACATACAGCTATGGCTTAAACTCAACGTACAACTACACGGTGAGCAGCAACTTAAACACCCACAACTTTGTAGGGGAACAGCTCTTGCATAACTCTTTGACTCTTTTTGTCTATCTAATGGGCAGATAAACGATTATATGGCTGGGTATCATGATGGGGCTCTGCTGTTTGGCAAAGTGCTCAGAGAGAGGATGCTCAGTCAACAAGGTCAAAAGGGATCCTATGATGTGCCTCTGGATGTCAACCCATTTCGAAAAATTTCCTTTGAGGGTGCGTATGATCAGTGACAAATCAAGATTAGCGACACAATGGGAGGCAGAGTTACTGTGCAAAATAACATGAAGCAAACCCAGACATAATAAGGTGATGTAGGTAAGGAGGGTGCCCACCCATGTAAATAACCCTCACCCATGCAGCCTGCATGGGTGAGGGTTATTTTAAACACCAACACAAATGCTACAGGTTAGAGCAATGACCTGCCTAACTGCAGCAGAAAAACACATGTGTGTTTGTAAAAGCTGTTAGGTTTGAGGTGGTTATTCATGTTTTAGCTACAAATACAACAACAAATATAAATTGAAAATACTGTCAGTTACTGTCTACTGTAAACAACTTTCAGAGAGCGTCACATCACAGTGAACATTTACTTGCCGTTGTTTTATTGGTATTTTATTGTTGCCTATTCTAATTTAATTTGATTTGAAAATTATTCTGTACTGTGTTCGAGGATGGCCTGATGCCCTCCAAATGTTTCTAACTGCATAATGTTTTACACATTTTAGCTTTTTCATAATTTTCAAATCCAAAGAAAAGACATAAAGGCCAGCCATTATGTTTGCAACTTTTTTGTTGCATTCCACAATAAACATTTGTAGCTCATCCAATTTAAATGTGATCAATCTGTAATTATTTCCATTTCCAGGAAATAAACAGGCTTTCTTTGTTGTGTGTGTATGTGTGTGTGTGTTTGCTTCCACCAGGTATGGGAGGACACTATGTGCTCGATGAGTACGGTGACAGAGATGTAAACTTCTCTATGATTTACACAAATGTAACTGGCCAGGTGAGACTACTGTCCATTCAGCAGTTTACACACTCAGTGTGAACGCTTGTTTTTATACTTTGCCTCTGTCTCTCTCCAGTATGAAACCCTGCTGGTGTTTGACACATCACGAAATGAAACCATAGAGATGAACCCAAATCCAAGCCTGCCCTGGAAAGGGGGTCGCCTGCCTCCTGCCTTGCCGGATCATTCAGATGGTAACATGCAGATACACACTGATGGTGTAGAGGTAGTGTGGTTGGTGATGTGGTGCCTCACTGTGGCCTGAATACTGTTAACACCACACAGCACAGTTTCTGGTCTGTGAGTCTAATTTTAGTTCCCACTCTTCTCATGACCTCACAGCATAGTTTTTGTTCGTGTTTGTGTTTGAGATTTCAAGCGACTCCATGTAGAGTCCCTGACACAAGGTTAATAAGCTTTGGCATAAAAGTCGGAAGATATCATTTTAGACATATTGTGTGATTTTATGGTCTTTATTGAAGATAAGGCTGTGCATTTTTTTTTTAATCCGTGCTCCTGTGTGTGTGCTTCCAGGCTTCAATATGCAGGATGTGATTGTCATCGTCTTGAGTCTCAGTGTTGTCGTGGTGACAGCCATTGCTCTCATCTTCTACAGGTAAACAGCACGCAGATTTCACTGGTGTATCAGACGTGCAACATATAGACTTTAAGCATCGTTAAAGCTGAGATGGGACAACAGTTCTGACTAGGGTTTAAATTGATGGTTTTACTTGAAGTTCAGGAAATGTAAAGACCAGATGAATCACCTGTTCCTCCATGTTCACATTTCGTCAATGAGCCACATAAAGCTGTAATGTGATTGGATGCACTCTGAAAGCAAGATAGATATCCTACAAATATCCCATGTGCTCAGTGTTGATGCACTTAATCACTGTATGTGTGTGAATAATTGTACCTTGTACCTTGAATAATGTAGGCAGAACAGAAAAGAGCGTCTTATGCAGAAGAAGTGGTCTCACATCAACCCACATCTGATTGGTCCGCTGGATGAGAAGGAGGTTTCTCTGAAGGTAAACGTCCTCATCAATCACCTATTTCTTACGTGTTAGATTAAGTCTAAACTTTTCTCTGAGGCCTGTTAAAGAAGCACATGAAAAAAAATCAGGTGAGCTCATATTAAAATAACCTATTAGATACAACTTAAAATTAAAAAGGGAGTAGGGAAATAAATGAGTAATATTTGAACTCCAGCACACTGTCAGTTTGTCACGGACCTCTGTCTGGCATCCGTCAGGCTTTACGGGAGTTCAGTATTTTTTTTTACATTATGTCTCCTTCAAATTTGATGAGATCACATCCAGTAAAACAAGTACATGAAAGTGGGTGTGTATTTATGTGTGTAACAGATTGATGAAGATAAGAGGAAGGACAGCGCATACTTCAATCACAGAGGTCGCTATGACAAAAAGGTACCAACCTGCCAACTTTTAGAAATCAACATTTAAAAACAGAAAGAAAATAAGATGATCATGTATTTTCATTCAGTGTTTGTGTATGTCTTATTTCTCTATATTCCTCAGCCTGTAATCTTGAAAGAGCTGAAGCAGGAGGACGGAGACTTCACCGAGGACCAGAGGATTGAGCTCAACACTGTAAGAGAAACCATGAGAGCAACTGATCTCTTATATAGGCTTATGGACACTGACCACACTACTCTTTCATTTTCATTTTCTGTATGTTGGTGGCCCTATGTCCACCTTTCTTTCTTCTTTTAGCTCCACATTCAATTCACTTCAATTTCTTCATGTTTCAGCTGCTGCGTATCGATTACTACAACCTGACCAAGTTCTATGGCACGGTGAAGTTTGAGTACAGTGTGTTTGGGGTATTTGAGCTCTGTCAGAGGGGCTCCCTCAGGGTAAGAGCAGACCATCACTCACACTGTCTGACACCTTCCCTGCAAATACGACCCTGCAGTCTATTTGATCAGGCTGCATGTTTTTAGGAGACATTGAAAGATGCGAAACATCTTTAACTCTTTCAGGGAAGTTGTTTGTTGATCTCAAAAGCACATCGACAGATAAGTTACACAATGGGACAGGAGATAGGACAAATAATTACATTCCTTTTATTAAGATGATACATTTTAAGAAGTATAGTCTCAGTGGAAATATAAAAGCTCTCTGAGTAATTTATAATGAAGACTTTTCTTTTTGTCACAGTCATTGTTATTTTGTTCCTAGTCTTTCATGTTTATTTCATATCTGTCTTTAAATACATTGTGAATTTATTTATGACAGAGCTCAGTGGCCTCGGTTCTCCACTGCTCACAATGACTTCACTGTTCATTTGATAAGAGGTGGACACACATGGTTTTATGAGTACACACACACACACACACACACACACACACACACACACACACACACACACACACACACACACACACACACAGTTGTTGTTGTGTTTAAGTGTTTTGCAGTTCCATTAACTGAGTACATCATGTGGGCAGAGTAGTAAAAGTGATTGAATATAAAAGTCTTCTGCTCTGTATCTGTTTTCTCCCCTCAGTACATTCTGAATGACAGGATCTCCTACCCAGACGACACCTTCATGGACATGGAGTTTAAGATATCAGTCATGTATGACATAGCAAAGGTATTGATTGTTTATGTACCAAGGCTTCATATACTGTACTGTTTGTTCATTTAGCTGTTTTTCAAAGAGGACCAAATTGGAAAACAATAATTCCAGATTTTATTTTTCTTATCAACATGACTTGATTTATTGTGTTTTATATGTTTTAAATGTTATAATCAGTGTATTTTACTCACTTGACCTCACTTCCAGTACATTTCAAGGAGAGTGTAACTCTGTGCAACCATCCTGGATTAACCATTCTACTCTCTCTACACTGTCCACCTGCTTTATATCTTCTACAGGGCATGTCATATCTCCACTCCAGTAATATTGAGGTCCACGGTCGCCTCAAGTCCACCAACTGTGTGGTTGACAACCGCATGGTGGTTAAGATCACTGACTTTGGCTGTCACACCATCCTGAGGCCAGGCAGAGGTGAGACTGAGTTTTTCCTCATTGTTGAGGTTGATTATTGATCTAAATATTGGAAGTACCAGCGACTCAGTTTCTTCTCTCCTCTCCTCTCCTCTCCTCTCCTTTCTTTTCAGACGTGTGGACGGCCCCGGAGCATCTTCGAAAAGATGGGGTGTCTCAAAAAGGCGATGTCTACAGCTATGCCATCATTGCTCATGAGATCGTTATGAGGCGGACCCCGTTTTATACACAGAGCAGCTCTGATCCTGCAGGTAAGCCTGGATATTTTGGCATGTCGCTGCCCTTGAGAACACTTGACCATATATTGATCTCAGAATCAGTTCTCAACCAAGTCCTGCACACCTTGATTATCTTAATGTCATCCAATCCCCCAGAGAAGATCTACAGAGTGCAGTATCCCAGTGGGACGAACTTCTTTAGACCTGACCTCAACTTTGATGGCGCATCAGAGAAGGAGATTGAGGTAAGAGAGCCACCAAACACTGTGAAGAACATTTGCTGTAATTAATTATAATGTAAAATCTCTTTGTTCTGTATGTATAGCTGTACATTCTGATAAAAAACTGCTGGGATGAAGACCCTGAACGGAGGCCGGATTTTAAGAGAATAGAGTTAACTCTGGGTAAGATTTTCAGGTACGTCAACACCACACATTCATTTAGGCAGACTTTTAATTATTTCTTATACACTTATTCACGACATGGCCAAATATAGGTGGACGCCCGAAAACAAAATATGTGACCTCCAGAACATCACACCCATATGTGCAATACAGGCCAGTCAAGTTCTTCCATGCCAAACTGGGAAAATAATTTCTTTTGATATCATTCCTGTTGTACTTTTCACTATTATATCTTCATTAAATGTGTAAAGAGTGATAATAAGGTAATATATTTTTCTTTTGACACAGTAACCTGCACAACCAAGCCAGTGAGACATACATGGACAACCTGATCCGTCGCCTGCAGATGTACTCCAGGACTCTGGAGCGTCTGGTGGAGGAGAGAACCTCTTTGTACAAAGCTGAGAGGGACAGAGCTGATCGCCTCAACTTTATGCTTCTTCCTGGGTAGGTTAATATCTGCTGATACATTGCAGAGGGCAGCTGAAAACAGGGACTAGTTTTAAAGCTGCTCTCATTGAACATTTTTTGTTTTTACAAAGGATCGAATGACTAAGTTTATGTGAAAAGGGTTGCTCCTGCTGACAAACCCACAAAGAATTATCACCTGAGTCTGCCATCCCCCTCAGTCCTAAAGAGCATTTAGTCTGTATTTGTTTTAATATTTTGGTTTTATGACCAAACTATGCTATCATCAGTATGTTTATTTCAGCAGCAGCAGATAATAGTTTATAGTGAAAGTAGAATTAAATAAGTCTGGTCCCATGAATTACAATGAATTTTTGCTACATATCTGCTGGATGTGTAAATAGGCAACTGTTTGCTCACGTTTGACATAAAAATACTTTCTTTATAGGCTTGTATGCTTTTTATGAATGTCTGTTCTATTTCCTCTCTTTTAATTTCTCTGTTGTTTATTTCTCTATTGTCTCTCGTGTTTCTATAACTCAAAAGCAAAGCTGTAATTGTACATGCCGTATCAACTTAGCTATTTTAATTTTATACGAAACTGTCAGTTAACGTCAATATTTTCCCTTCTCCCTGTGTCTCCCCAGGCCAGTGGTGCGCTCACTGAAGGAGACAGGCAGAGTGGAGCCAGAGCTATTTGAGGAGGTGAGCATCTATTTCAGCGACATTGTGGGATTCACCACCCTCTGCCACTACAGCACCCCCATGGAGGTGGTCGACATGCTCAACGACATCTACAAGAACTTTGACAGCATCCTTGACCACCATGATGTCTACAAGGTACTTTAGTATGAGTCCTTTATGATCTGAAACTTGGAAGTTGGTTGAAGTCGGACTTAGACTTGTACAAATTATTTCATTACTTTTTTCATGTTTGCTGAATACAGATAATTTAAATAAAGCTATTCATTCATTGTCTCTCAGGTTGAGACAATTGGAGATGCGTACATGGTTGCATCAGGTTTGCCCAAACGCAACGGTGACAGGCATGCAGTGGACATCGCCCACATGGCCCTGGACATCCTGGCATTTGTAGGGACTTTCCAGCTGCAGCACCTGCCTGGCATCCCTCTGTGGATCCGTATTGGTGTGCATTCAGGTAACAGACATGCATAATGGTTTTGTCTTATTTAATGTAATGCTTGTTCTTGTTTAAGTCTATTTTTTTTCCTCTGTAACTTTTATTATAAAATGTGAACGAGAACAGAGTGTCTATACGTGTCTGCGGGAAAGACTCAAAACACAGAATTTAGTAATCGTAGGGAGTGCTTTCATAGACATTTGTGTTTAAAAGTAATTTAAAACAATGCCAAAAACTTGATACAGAGAAATAAGAGAAAGCAGTCTACAAACCAGAAATAGGCTCATAACTCAGACAAATCAGACACACTTTTAGATGTTGTAAATGATGGTAAATGTTTGTGCAGAAATGAAGAGTTAAAAAAATGAAGGAGCCAACAAGAGATACACGGGAGGGTAAAATTATTTCATTTTTATCAATTGGATGAAAATGAAAATGAAAACATTAATGTTTGTTTGTGTGTAGGACCCTGTGCAGCAGGAGTGGTGGGGAACAAAATGCCTCGCTACTGTCTTTTTGGAGATACAGTAAACACTGCTTCACGCATGGAGTCCACGGGCCTGCGTAAGCGACAACACACACACACACCACACACACACACTTTAACACAATATTCACTTAATTTTCCACAGTTATTTTAACTGAGAGCTGAGGGTTTGACTCTCTTGGTTCTTTATCATGTCATCTTTCCAGCTCTGAGAATTCATGTCAGCCAGTCTACCATCAACATCCTGCAGAGGACAGACTGCAAGTTTGAGTATGAAGAAAGAGGAGAGACGTACCTGAAGGTTAGTTGGGTTTGCTTTGATTTTGAGGCATTTACATCAAATGTAAACCGTACAGATAGTGGTTACAAATCTCATTTCCTGCGTGTGTGTCCATGTGTACCTGACCACAGGGTAAAGGCAAAGAGATGACATACTGGTTAACAGGAGTGACTGGGGGAAAATACAACCTGCCAACACCACCAACAGCGTGAGTAAAACACAGCCTCATGGAGATTTACTCCAAACATTTCTCTCATGTGAACACTGACACATGGGCTCGTGTTTTCACAATTTTGCATCCTCCCACATCATCATCTATCATCCAAAAATAATCCTCATGTTACTGTCTCAGGGAGAACTTCCAGCGGCTCCAGCAGGACCTGGCAGAGATGATCGTGTCCAGTCTGGAGAAGCGTGGAGACGGGGGCGAGGGTATCAAAAAGACACTGTCCACCAAAGTCAGTTGGAGGGAGACGAGCCGCAACCTGCAGGGGGACAGCCCGCCAGAGTACTTCCACCTGGCTGTCACTGACAACCCCAGTACCTACCTGTGATCACCGTACAATGGAAGTAGATCGTAGAAATGAGTCATAGCCTGTACTCGTCTGGATCAGCACTGCCGGGTTACTTTGGACAGCTCTGTTCATTCAGGGGTGGAGTGACAGTAGAGCAGCAGTGGAACAAGCAGGCGTGTTAAAAGTGAGACTTATGTGTAGATGTAATGATAAACGTGGCTGCCACAGGGTCTTTCTGCTTTGATGATTTCCCCCCTCAACACCTATCCCTCTGCCACATAAAATTAAATGTCAAATTTTTCACCTTCAGATATTGTTATATATCATTTAAGATGTTTGTTGTGGTGGAATAAGTGCTGTAAATAATCCCCTCCTCTTCAATGGGACAGAGACATTTTTACATTTAGAGATCACTGTGGATGTGTTGTACTCTGCATTATTACATTTGACCTGTTATTCATGGAAATTAGAAAGGAACACAACCAAACTGTAAAACTGGCCTAAAGAATAGTAATATCATTTCAAAGATTGGGAAAGCATAATTTTCTAATGAGGCTCGCTTTATGAGGGGCTTATTCGTTGCCGTCTGGCACAGAGTTAATTTTCATGCTACCACTTAGGGGCGCCAAAGTTAGACATTTACAGCATCTGGAAGTGTTTTAGGTGATGCATCTTTCTTTTTAAATGGTTCTCATAAAATGGCATGGGTTTAAATGACACATGCCTTTTTTAAATTTGTAACATACATGGCTACCTTTGCCATGCTCCTGCGCTGGACAATGATAACTCACACGTAGTTAATGTCACATATTCATGGATTTTAGTGTGAGAGTCCTCTGAGATTTATCAAGAGACCACATGATCACCTCTCTCCAAAAGGAATCCAAATAATGGGGTTACTGAATGCACTCTTCTTGACTTTATTGTTTGAACTGTTCTCCATTTATGTTTAGATGTTGCCTGCAGGAAGCTCATTGATTGAGAAACTTTGACAAAATTATTTACCATGAAAATAGCCTTTTCTGCTGCAGTGAAACTATATCCAAACTACTCCTAGTACTCGTCATAATATAGTGGAGATCTGAGAATATTTCTCTTTCACACCACAACAGTGCTATCTTGTTTTCAGATCATCATAAATATTTCAGTGATGATTTTGGTTTTGTGTTTTATTAAATGTTTGACAAATAGCATAAGATTCAGAGCAGTTTCTTTGTTTCATCTCTTCACAACACTTTGGAGTAAAGTACACTAAAACATACACAGTCTTACATTGTATGATTGGACATCAATCTACCCCATAACACTTGCATTTTTCAAACAGTGCAGAGAAAAAATAACAGCAGCTGTAGAAAATTCAAATATTTAAAAACCATAAAAACATGGTAGAAAAGAGAGATATTCAAAATTTGCATTATGAAAAAACTCACCACACTGAGCACAATGTGCCAAGTACATGCAATTAAGAAAAGCTTTTTAACACACACACACACACACACACACACACACACACACATACACACACCCACCCCCCTACATAGTTTTAGTTGTAACTAACGCAGTGCCACCAAGCTCTGTGGCAGGAAGTGGGACCCTGTGTTCCCTCATTGTTCTGCATGCAGACAGACCTCCGGCCGCCTCTGTCACAGCATGCTTTGCATGGTCCCTGCAAGCAGTGAAGCCCTCCTCCCACTTAAAGCCTGTTTGGACCCCCAGGTGCAGGTGAGGGCAGGGGGAAGGGGCCCCTGCGGCTTGCTGCAACAGCTCTGCATGACCGTTTCTTTCTGAAGGCGGTGGGTAGATTTTGGAAGGTGGCTCTGTTTTCTGAAGAGGATCCTGTTGCAGCTCTATGTCCTCTGCAACGCAAACAACTCAAACATGAGGGCGTCACTGAATATTCAAATTGATTTAAAAAATGATTAGGATATCCTTTAACACACATGTGGATCTTAAGACTGAACTGAAGTACTGGTCACTGAATACTGATATGAATTACAGACACCATTTATTTGGCCAGGAAAAGATATAAGGAAGCATAGCGGTCTCATAATACATAATGCACACAATAATCCACACACATCCAGTGTACCAACATATTAACCCTGAAAGTTCAGGGTCTATATATAGCTTATCTGCATAACTTTTCATTATGGCAACAAACAGTGGAAGTTTAGCAATACTTTGTCTTAAAATCATCATTATATTATGCTTCTTAGGAGATTCATGCACATGCTTGTATTTATTTCCAACAAGTGATCTTAATTTAAAGGCAGCTATTAATGGGAGAGTGTGAGGGTCAAAAAGACATTGTGTTTACTAGGGCTGCACCAATCTGACTTTTCCAGTCCCAAGACCAATACCTGGGCCGTACCAAAACTACTGATGATACTTGCAATGCCATATTGTTTTCACTTATAGGCTATTTAGTCAACTATTGTAAACTAAATATTTTAAACCATACAAGACAAGCTTCAGACTCTTGCATTGTGAAAAATGATGAGTTTCACAACAACTAAGTGGACGAAGCTGAATACCTCCACTCTGCTAATCTATTTTTCTGCATTACTGGTTGTCCTGTGGATAAAAAGTCTATTGACAGACAATTTACTCAATGAGGACAAAAGCATGCTGTTGATAAAGTGAATCTAGTTATTCCTTACTCCTGAGATTTTTTTGTTAATATTTAACTAAGTTAAGACTGCACAGGAGCTGCGTTCCAGAAAGTTCAAATTACAGTTATGATCATGTTTGCACATTTGTCATTTAAGGCACAGAAGCCCAAGCTTTTCAGCCTGATCTAAGCTTTCATCAGTACAATGGCCACACAAAGGAGTTGCTGTATATAATGGCAGACTGGTCACTCACTGTCACCACATTTCACAAAGTAAATACACACAGACATTAGCAACTTTTAAATATCTGACTTTATGGATAGAAAGATGATATCTAAAACTGTTATACTACCAACTACAAGCTACGTTGCTGTCAGTGCCTTTCTGCATGTGTTTTTTTGTCCATTTCAGTGTTTTCAAGGTCATGTGGAGATCTAATTCGTCCTGCCTAACCAACGGATGTGTGTTGACACCAGAATAGCTGGTAAGAAAGCAGGGCTGACCCATGGGACGCCTGAAGAAGAGAACAGAAACGGTGGAGTTTCTACTGCGATGAACGTCACACTTCATCACCTGCCCCTTTGCAACCCCACTTCCTGCAAACTACTCTCAGATGCCCTCTGTGTATGTCAGATGCCCCACTTACAGAAAAAAAAAATGGCCGCTGCAAGATGAACACTTGGAAAACTAAATATCCTAATGTAAAATACATCACTGAAGACATAAAGGATCAATTATCATCTCTCAAAGGATTATCTCTGGTGTGATGCATTACAGCATCAGATATGAATATCCGTTCTATGACTAACATATGGCTAGCAGCAGCTGCTTCTATAAGAGTTAAACCAGTTTTAATTGTTGATACTGACAGCATAAATAGCTAGCTGATTTTTAATGCCAAAATTTGAAAATGTAAACAATTCAATTTCAGCTTTTCTGTTTTCCCAAGAATTACACTCTTGTGAGAGCAGAGGTGCCTCTGAAACAGCTTTTAAACCATTATGTTTTCAGCTGCTGAGGATTTTGGGATATACAAAACTCAATCAAATCAAATAAATCCTATGAATCATCAATATCGTTTGCCTTACGTGAGGTGCTGCTGTAGCTGGTCTGTCGACTGTATATGATGAACCAGACAGTCAGAGCCAAGATGGACCCCAGTATGGCCAGCACCACAAAGACCCACAGAGCCGGACTCAGCACCATCACTAAATTGGCCTGGGTGGGGGCCGTGGCTTTCAGCTGGACTACAACTGCCAATGGTGGTTCTGAGGGAAACAGATTTATTTGCAGTGATTAGTTCCTAAAGGAGCACGACTGCACCAAGGACCAAATCTGAGTCAGCTGACATGTTTTTAAATGACATCGAGTGTTTATTTAAGATCAACAGAGGTATTTATCTTAATGCAGGAGCTCTGTGCCTCCCCCTTTAACAGACAACTATATAATGACTAAAGAGTGCATAGATATTTAAGTCTATTAGCAGCTGTGCACCTGAACGCTTTGCATTACAGAGGAGAAAATAAATACAAAAATAGTCAAGTCAGGTGGAAAACAACATGTGTGAACTTTTAAATAGCGAAGAATTCAAGTCAACATCAAAAAGTGGCCAGTAGATGTCAAGTCAAACTAGGTCTAACAAGATTTGAGACTAAAGCCAGACTTTTACAGAACAAGAATAAATCTCTCGGCAAAACTCACCTGTTTTTGGTTGAGGTTCAGGTGTGGTTTTCGTTTTGCTGAATATACAGTCGCCGACGAGGTGGTCCAAATAGCTGCCAGCAGGACAGTCCTTCTTGGTCATGGCTGAAGCAGGGTGAACAATATGGAGACCTGCTGGTGTGTTACCCTCCCCTACACTCTGCGACACAAACCACAAAAAAATTATGCTGAAAGCAGAGAACTGAGGCACAGAAGAGGGATGTGACGGGAGGATTTATGAAATGAACACAGAGTGCCTAACAGACGTTTCAGTTCCTCCATTTCATAGGAAAGGGTGACTCACTACATGTGTCCCCGGGGAGCTGAGGGAGATAGAGAGAGAGAGAGAGAGCTTACTGTGTTTCTGTTTCAAAAACAATGAGGTCCTGACCTTCAAGTTCCTTAGTTTGGATTAAATAGTATATGACTGGTAATCTGTTAATCTCTGATCATTCTGAATGACCACATGGTAAATCTGTAAGCCTATTGATTGATTATGTAACCCTTTTCACAATAGGCTTGTGATGAGGCAAGTACATTATACAGCAACATATAAAGTATTAAACCCCCTTAACCCTAATGCTTACGAACACTATTATTGTCACTCTCTCTACTAACCAATGAGAGGCTGACGGAATGATCTTGGTTTTAACCCCTATTGAATATTACCACAGAAAATACTGATCTCCACAGATACAGAGCACGTGATGAAACAAACAATAAGAATGCAATAGCTCAGTTTACTTCTTTGTATTATGCAAAAATCACATAACATTTAGTCAACAAATATGAAAATAAAAGGGAAACAATCTGAAAAGACCCAGGTAATATAGTTAATAGTCTTTGGTAACCTGAGTGCACTCTTTTATTTTTGTTCTTTTAGCAGGCCTGCATTAGTTTGTTGGATGGATCGGAGAGGGGGCTGTAGCCAATTCTGTGGTCTGGTCGCTGCCACACCGACCACTGGTCGCTGCCACTAGGGGCGCTAAAGATAGTAGTCGCTGCCACACAGACCACTGGTCGCTGCCAAACAGACCACTGGTCGCTGCCACTAGGGGCGCTAAAGATATTCGCTGCCACACTGACTGATTTTTATATTATATATATATATATAGCAATTTCTGCAGTTAACCTACAGTAATAAATTTCTCTACCTTTGGTTTTTGCCTACAAGAAGAAGGCCAGTGTTGTCACCTGTGAAGAAAAGTGTGGTGAGTCATGATGACCACTTGTTGGCTGAATCCAAGCTAGACTGATTTCCAATTAGCCAAATAAAGTTTTCATAGAATTCCAATACTTTTTTCCCCAAAGATGCATTATCACAGAGGTTCACCACTGCATGTTTAACTTAGTGTGTAGTTTCTATTAAGAGATATGAAATATACATATGAAACCAGAAACAAAGAATGGGGTAAACTCTACCTCTCCATCACATAGAATACTTCATGTTAAAAAAAATTATACCACACATATATAATATCCTACAAGAAGAACTGATGGATAATAATCTGGACATCAAAGAAAAACTAGAGATGAATTCTATTCTTTCAGATACAAAGTGGAGACTATCATGCAGAAAGAGACATTAAACAACACTTATAGCCCTACTTGGAGGGCATTTGAATTAGGGCTGGGTGATATGGCCAAAAGTGTTATCAAGATAAAAACATTTCATACCATTTGTTTTCATTACATCAAAATCTGGAAACATTGAATGAGCGATGGAATGGATGCGGCCTGGTAGGTGATCGCACACATATTTTGGGACTGGCCAAAATTAGCAGAATATTGGCAAAACATACAAAATGAAATAAAAAATGTTTACATATAGAACTACCATGAGCAACCAACCATATTGTTTCTTACTTGGAATGATTCCAGAAGATGTAAACATAATAATATGACTTTACTACTGAGAGCCCTGTTTCTGATGGCTAAGAAGACGATTACAGTCTCTAGGGCTGAGGCCAAAGTCCACACAGTCTCACTATGGAAGAGATGCTAGTTAAATTGGCAAAGTTGTGATAAAAAAAAATTTGATAATATGGTCCACGATCACCTTATGGTTTCACATGTGACATGATGTGGGAGGCATTAAACAACTCATGTAGATGTCTTCTGTTATCTAAATCTAAAAATCATGCTATGCATTTTTTTTCTTGCCCTCTAACTGTCGAACTGTATTAGAATGGATGAAAGTCATTACCCATCTATACAGTACAATAATAAGAATATAGTTATAATCAATAATTAGTAGGCTATATTTAACAAATTATTATGATCTAGATAATTTGTTACTGTATATAGGCTATAACCACACAAACTGCAATATATAGTGTACAATAAGAATAGGCATAATCAATAATATACTATTTAACAAAGGGTTATAATCATAGACTGTATATAAGTCATCGTCATCGTGACGTCACCCGTTTGTTTTTGGACTGCCATTTTGAAGCCTCGAGTTTGGCCGATAGGGCGCTGCCATGTCGAGTTTTTGCAACCAGGAAGTGACGATACAGCGGAGCTAACGGCAGAGCTAGCTAGCTTGCTTAGCTAGGTGCAACTGTAACTCACGTTAACTGTCATTTTAACAGAGCTGATAAGAGCTTTTTTAACAGAGCTTTGTCTAGTGAACAACAATCTCACAACATGTACTCACCAGAGAAAGTGAACAGCCAACTCCTAATAAGCTTTTCAATGGTGCTGGTTAAATTTACACAGTGCCGAGGGTACGAGTCGGCTCTAGCCTGATTGACTGGTCGCAATGGCAACGACTTGTCAATCATAGATAATCCCGCCCTGAAACATACTCCGCTTTGTGGTCTATTTTAAAATAAATGGGACCATAATTTACTAATTCAACATCATTTTGTATTGAAGAAGACTTGAAACTAGTGATTGAGACCATAAACTCATCAGGAAAGTGTTTACTGGGGTAATTATGCAGCTGAGAAGTAGTGTCATTTTCCCATTATTTCTAATGGAGCCGGACTTCTTTTTGCAACCAGAAGAGTCGCCCCCTGCTGAATTTTCAATAGAATGCAGGTTTCAGGGACTTCCGCATCGGCTTCGTATTGTAGACCGGAAACTTCCCGCTTGGTTATAATAAAGGTGTATTACAGTAGTCAGTGTGGCAGCAACCACTGTCTTTAGCACCCCTAGTGGCAGCTACCATACAGACCAGTGTGGCAGCGACCACCGTCTTCAGCGCCCCTAGTGGCAGCAACTAATGGTCTGTGTGGCAGCAACCCAAGACTGTGGAGCCTCCCGTCTCATGCCCTCCCGCCTGGTTGCAAATTAAAAGATTAAGTCTGGTCCACTGTCTTATTCATACTTTTGTGGAGTGCGATAAGTGAGGAGAAAAGAGACAGAGAGGTGTCGAGTCAGCTTTACTCTCCACTTCAATAACATCACACTGTACAGCGAGTCAGATCAAAACAACCACACCACGTTAACCCGGAACCGCAATATTCATCACCTCTCCCTTAAAAGGTACAGTCCCTTGGTGAAGACTCATTTAGTCTTACTTTTGGGTCACCACAGAGGCCCCCCCAGAATTCAGCCATAATAACAGGCCCAGACCAAGCAGAACATAGGATACTATTTACTAGTGCAAAACAGAACAGTCCAGCTCATAGCAGTCCCTAGAAAAGTCAACGTATAGGGGGGCGGACCGGGCGGCCATACCGGCTGCGCTTAACAGGAGAGGGGCCAAGGGCCAGGGGCATAGTTTGAGTCTGCCGCAGCCATGTGCTGAATGTCAGTGGTATACTCGGAGATGGCAGAGAGCTGACGCTGCTGTCGACCAGACCATGGCTCCGAAGACTTGGCCATGGCAAGCGCCAGTGGCTTGTGGTCAACGAAAGTCGTGAACTACCGGCCCTCCAACAGGAAACGGAAATGACGGGTGGCGAGGAAAAGACCCAGGAGCTCCCTGTCGAAGGCGCTGTATTTCCTCTCGTTGTACCGGAGCTTCCTGCTGGAAAAGGCCAGCGGCTGCTAGGCTCCACCCACACACAGCCCCCACAGTGTAATCAGAGGCGTCCGTAGTAAGAGCAACTGGGGCGGTCGGAGATGGGTGCGCCAGCAGAGCAGCGTTGGCCAGCGCAGTTTTGGCAGCATCAAAAGCACCAGTCATCTCTGGGGACCAATCCAACATGTCCGCCGGCCTCCCACCCCGCCATGCGTCGTACAATGGTCGCATGAGCCGGGCTGCATGGGGGAGAAAACAGTTGTAGAAGTTCACCATGCCCAGGAACTCATGCGGGGACTTCACAGTGCGTGGGCGTGGGAAACTGGTGACGGCGTCCACCTTGGCTGGGAGGGGGACGGCCCCCTGCGGGGTGATGTGGTGGCCAAGGAAAGCGATGGATGACTGGCTAAACTCCCACTTGGGCGGGTTGATGATGAGACCATGCTCACTGAGCCAGCCAAACAAGTGCCGGAGATGCGTCAGGTGGTCGTCTGCGGACGCACTGGCCACGAGAATGTCGTCCAAGTACACAAACAGGAACTGCATGTCCCTCAGCACAGAGTCCATGAGGCGCTGAAACGTCTGCGCTGCACCCTTGAGGCCGACAGGCATCCTTAGGAATTCAAAAAGGCCAAAGAGTGTAATGACTGCTGTCTTGGGGACATCCTGCGGGTGGACAGGCACCTGGTGGTAACCGCGCACCAGGTCCACCATCGAGAAAATGGTGGGCGGAGAAATCTTGTATGTGTGGCACAGAGTACCGGTCGGGGGGTGGTGGTGTTGTTCAAGCGACAGAAATCACAGGGACGCCAACCGCCATCAGCCTTGGTCACCAGGTGCAGGGGGGAAGCCCACGGGCTGTTGGAGCGGCGCACGATGCCGAGGTGCCCCATGGTGGCGAACTCCTCCCTGGCGATCGCGAGCTTGGCAGAGTCCCTCGACGCCGAGCTTGTGCATATACTGGGGGGCCAACCGTGGTGATGTAATGCTCCACGGCATGCTTAGCCACCTCCGATGAAAAAAAAAAGTGGGCATTGTGATGTCAGGGAACTCAGCGAGTAGGCGAAGATACAGGTCCCCGGTGGCAAGCGTGTTTGACAGACAAAGCACCCCCATCCCTCCCAGCGTGCAGGGGTACGAAGCAAAAGAGAGGGCGTCGATCAGGCGTTGGTTTGTAACATCCCCCAATAGACTCTAAGTGCAGAGGAAATCCGACCCCAGGAACGACGTAGACACAGCGGCCATGAC